TAGCCAACGCCTCAACCCAAAATTTTGCTGGGAGATTGGCTGTGCAAAGAAGTGTGACAAGAGTTTCAACCAAGTGACGGTGCTTTCTTTCAGCGACACCATTTTGTTCAGGAGTGTAAGGACAAGATTTTTGATGAAGAACCCCCAAATTTTGTAAAAACAGACCAAACTTTTTATTGACATATTCCCTCCCATTATCTGTGCGAAACAACTTAAGTCGTGCATTGAACTGAGTTTGAACCATAGATTGGAAACTAAGAAAAGCATCAAATGCATCAGATTTATTTTTAAGAGGGTACAACCAGCAAAACTTGGTATAATCATCAATAAAATTAATATAAAAATGATAACCTCCAAAGGAGGGTACAGAAGTAAGTCCCCATACATCAGAGTGAACAAGCTCAAAAGGAGCAGAAGTTTTAGTTTCAGACACAGGGAAGGAGAGTTTATGAGACTTAGCAATAGAACAAGAATTACAGTGATCAAGATGCTGAAATTTAAAACCTAATTGAGACAATAAAGACTTAGTGACTGAAACTGAGGGATGACCAAGACGACAGTGCCATTGAAACGGAGTGACTTTGACAAAGTTGACCACCAGAGACGAGGGAGATGCCAGTATGGAGTACAGACCACGCTCACAAGAGCCCTTGAAAAGAACTTGGTTGTTGGGATTGTCCCGAATCGTAAAATCATTAGAGGTAAAAAGAAGAGAACAATTGTTATCTTTAGTAAATTGATGGACTGAAAGCAGATGGGAGTTAATGTGAGGGGATGGGAGAAGGTTGGTTAAGGTAAAAGTATGGAGAGGGGTGGTGAGTATACCTGAGCCTGTATGGTCAATGGGATAGGTGTTACCTCCTGCAGTTGTGATGGAATTGGTGCCATGGTACGGAGTCAAAGTATGCAGCCGAGACAGATCAGGCGTAACATGGGTGTTTGCGCCAGTGTCCAGATGCCAGTTCGAACTAGATTCAGTAGATTGATTTGCATAAAACGCCTGCGGAGGACCAGCATATGATTCATCGTAGCGGTGCCAACAATTCCAGACCGCATGGCCAGGCTTCCCACAGAGTTGGCACGTGATGGACCCCCGGCCACCTCCTCTGCCGCGTGCGTTGTCGCGGTACTGCGGCTGCCGGCCGCCTCTACCGCCGGGCTGACTGCCGCGGTAAGGCCCTCCTCGGCCTCGCTGTGGTCCACGACCACAACCCCGACCATTGCCTCGTCCGGAGTTGGTGTAGAGAGCATTATGAATGTCAACAGACGAAGTAGAGCTGGAGTCACCAAGAGACAATTTTTTCTCAAAAGATAAATTCAATTCTTCAGACAACAACCAAGAGGAGACCTGATTAAAGGTGACGGTGGCAATATTGGTGCGAATATTTTGCTTGAGGGAGGCATAGTCGGCCGGTAGACCTCGTAGAACACAAAGGATAATATCTTGTTCAGAGATTTCTTCATGAGCCAGTTTGAGAGACGACACAATAGTGAGAACCGTGTCCAAATAGGAT